CCTTATTGTACAATTTAGACTCGATACTAAGAGTTCGTACTCGTGCATGTTTTGTCATTAAGACACAATTAAGACGTTTTTGTGTTTATATGACTAAACCAATCAATGAATCACTTGTCAATCAAATTTACAAGACATTCCCCTTTAGTGTACAATTTGAACTCGGTACCAATAGTTAGTGCTCATCCACGTTTGGTCATTATGACACAATTAAGTAGTTTATGTGTTTATATGAATAAACCAATCAATGAATCACATGTCCATCAACATTACAAGACATTTGGAGCAGGAATCCCCCTTATTATACGATTTAGACTCGGTACTAAGAGTTCGTACTCATGCACTTTTGGTCATTATGATACAAATAGGTTGTTTATGTGTTTATATGACTAAACCAATCAATGAATCACATGTCCATCAACATTACAATACATTTGGAGCATGGATCCCCTATACTGTACGATTTAGACTTGGTACTAAGAGTTCGTACTCGTGCACGTTTAGTCATTATGACACAATTAAGTTTTTATGTGTTTATATGACTAAAGCAATATTTGAATCACATGTCAATCATCATTTAAAAACATTTGGAGCACAAATACCCTTTACAGTACAATCTGGACTCGGTACTAAGAGTTCGTACTCTTGCACGTTTGGTCAGTATGACACAATTAAGTGGTTTATGTGTTTCTATTACTAAACAAATCATTGGATCACATGTTCATGAATACAACAAGACATTTGGAGCACGAATTCTCCTTAGTGTACCGTTTGGACTCGGTACTAAAAGGTCGTATAACAACACAATTTATCTTTTCATTTGTTTTTATGGCTAAACCAATCAATGAATCACATTTCCATTAACTGTACAATACATTAGGATCATGAATTCCCCTTATTGTACCATTTGGAGTTGGTAGTAAGATTTCGTACTCACACAAATTTAATCATTGCAACACAATATAGTTATTTATGTATTTATATGACTAAAGGAATCAATGAATCATATGGCCATGAACATTACAATACATTTAGAGCCCGAATTCCCCTTATTGTATCATTTGAACTCGGTACTAAGAGGTCGTATTCCCATATCCAGCTCCTCAAATCCCTTAACCCTAGTCCACCTTCTCGTTTGGGAAACGTTAATTTCCCCCAGGCCGCCACTGCTTTCTTCTTACCATCCTGGCCCACACCCCATAGGAAATCACTACACATCTTCTCTATGTCAACAATCACTTTTTTTGGCAAAATAAACACAGCCATACAAAATTGAACCATCCTGTATAAAACAGAAAGAACCAGTTGAAGTCTACCTGCATAGCTCAAGATTTGTACCCCCCCCCCCCCCCCCCCACCCCCCCCCCCCCCCCCGGTTTTGTATCCTCTTGGCAATTTGTCAATTAAAGAGCGACGAGCTTTAGTGGCCAGTTTTCCAGGGATTAAGGGGATGCCTAGATAGTAGATACCTAACAGGGAGAGAGACAAGCTGATAACCAGCTCTGGCTGCCATACTCTCCTGCCAAGCCTTAGGCAAACCACAACAATAAAGCTCACACTTATCAGGATTAGACACTAGCCCTGATAGAATTCTAAACTGCTCAAAGAACTCTTGAATACATTGAACCAATAGTTCGACCCATCAGAGAAGAGCAACAATCATCAGCAAATATTAGGTGAGTTAGGCCTACACGTTTGGACATTGGGTGAAAAGACATCCTTTTTTACATTCACTGCTTTTTCATGAGACTACTGAATACCTCCATTGCAACAACAAAGAGATAGGGGGAGAGAGGGTCTCCCTGTCTTAAACCCTTCTTAGCTGAGAAGTAACCAACCACCCCTCCATTAAACCCAACACTGATCTTAGGAGTAGTGACACACATTGAGATCCATTTAATGAAACCTAAAGGGATATTTATAGCTTCTAACACAGTAGTGAGAAAGTTCCAATCCACATAGTCAAAAGCTTTCATTATATCCACCTTTACCATAAACCTAGAGGACATATTCTTCCTTCCATAATTCTGAACCATTTCATGAGCAAGCAGAATATTCTCCCCTATGATTCTACCTTTAACAAAAGGCGTTTGATTCTCACTAATCAAATGAGGCAAACATTCACTAAGCCTGGAGGAAATGATCTTAGCTATACATTTATAAATAATTTTACAACATGATATTGGTCTAAAGTTTTTCATTTCCCCAGGCCAACATTTGTGTTCATTTACGTCATGTGGTGGTTATTCACATAAAACTATGGTTATTCATGTAAGAGTGTAAGTATTCAAGTAAATGGAAAACAGACATTTTCCCACTAATAATTTGTATTGGCTATATTATATGGAATTAAATTTGGATTCTCCATTAATCTTTAAATATATGTTGCATTAATCATAATCTACACAATGACATCCATTTTGATATATTTCAAAGCTTAAATTTTTATTTTACAGCGGCATGAATAAATAACAATAGGCATGAATAAACATCAGTTTGCGTGACCTAACAGTATTGATTGCATGAATAATCAACACTCTTACATGAATAACACAAATATAGCATGAATAACACAAATATGACGTGTATAAATAAGAAAATGTATGAATTAGGTGATTTTTCACCTGACGTGACAAGAGACATGACTCTTCATCTATTTCACATTTAAACAAGTATTATATGTTAAAATCGATTTCTTGTGCCCGAGTCTGGATTTTTTTGGTCCAACCGACCGGTCCGATTTTCATAACACTGCTAATAACAATCAACCCTCAGACATCCAGCCTCTTTTTTTCCCCATTCTTCCCTTCCCTGCTCTTTAGACCATCTCCAACAACCAAATGGCAAAATGCTAGAATGTCAAAAAAAATTGGCATTTTGGCACTCAAAAAATATTTTTTGCTCAAACAAGCAAAAGACAAAATGCTAGAATGCCAAATCTTCTCCTTTTGTGATAATCTAGTTTAGTGTAGATTTCATTACTTTAATTGGACAATTTATAGATTATTTATATATAGGTAGTAATTATTAATTAAGACCAACGTTTCAATAATTTTTTTTAATTTTGACATAAATAATTATTGAATTGGAGGCTAATAGAGCCGTTGGAATTTAATTAAAGGACTGAAACTGAATTTTTTTTTGTCTTCCCAACTACAAGAAAGGGGAGAGGGGGATGAGTGTGTTAGGAAAAATTCTAGTATTTTGTGCATTTTAGCATTTCCAAAAGCTTGTTGGAGGAGCTATTTTGATATTTTTGGCATTTTGAGTTAGTTGTTGGAGATGGTCTAATGCCCTTCATCCTATCACTTTCAAAAATGCAAATATACATATTACAAATAAAGAAATAATAAAAGAGAGGGCTCCCTCTTGCACTGCACGTAGATCCACTAGCAAATCTGTTGACAAAATAGTAGTAAATGGGTTGAGGGCTAACGGTTCAATCAGTTTAGTCCAATTTAACTTGGATACATGAAAAAAGTCATTAGATTATTTATATATTTATAAATATTATCAAATTTCATCTAATGTATGGACAATTACATATAATGTTGTACTTTTTTTTGCAAAAGCATACGTTGCCGTATTGATACCTAAGGGGTTTTGTGTCATTTTAACATAATAATACGCTTTAAAGTTTTGACATCAGTCACAAAATATTATAAATATATAGTTCAAAGTGAAAGTATATAAAATTATTAAATTCCTTAGAATATGTGTATAAGATGTTTCATATGTACATAGTAAGTAAAGTTTTAAACAAATTGATAGAAAAAGAGACGACTCTAGAATGCTATGAGACTGAGAGCAAGAGTATTATTGTTTTTTTGCGAACAATGCATGTCAAAGGTATGACATCCACATCCGCCATAACAATAGAGCACTACGATGAAAAGATCGGCCGTTAGTATTGGTTGTCAACCAAAAACTAAAAAACATATACATAATTTTAACAATTCACAAAAAAATTATTTCAAATATTTGTATTCAAAATTATATTTTTTATCAAATCTCATACCACATCAAGTATTAATAACAACAAAATAAACCACAAGACAACTAATACACACAAGAACTATTCACGCTCTTATTCAACAGGTCCGAAACTATATGATATCATTGAATTATATACCACCATACATGAATGAGTCATGTACTATCATAGTTCACGAGACACGTTTTATATTATATAGACTTACTAAAATACACAAAGGTTTAATTTTGTACTGTCATAATACACAAGAATTTCATTTGCCTTGACACTTTTTCGTGATATGCATACTAAAATTTTTTAATCTACTTTCAGACCAAGTGACGGGGTCAAAGCTAGTATATATATAAGAATATATAAGAATGTCTTTTATGCCAGAGCCAGAGGTGCTAGTTGTAAATTATATTTTATATATAGGTGATCGGTTCATATTTCATAATGCACATGGATAAACGAAAAGACAACATGATAATAATAATACAAAGCAAAAACAGAAAACGAAGGTGCAAAATGGCATAGGTAACTACAATAACAACATTGTTGAAAATGATTAATTAAATAAAGAAAGACCTCTTCAATAAAGAAACTATATTAGGATGACCAAATTGCTAATCGATAACTACTTTTGTATTGGAAAGCAGGAATAATATATTAATGATTAAATATCGTCAAGTTGATATTGGGTGATGGTGAAGGGATTAATTAATTCCTTCATAGTTTTCGCACACTAAAAAAAAAGGGTCTATGCCAAGGGTTTTTTTAACTTATACCAAGGGTTTTAACCCCTGCTACAAGTTGTAGCAAGGGTTTTGTCAACCCCTGCACCAACCCTCACCAATGCTGCCCCTGCTACATGTAGTAAGGGTTTTCATCAACCCATGGTGAAAGTTCTATCCAAGGGTTGTAGCAGGGGTTGAAACCCCTGCTACATGTCATTGTAAAATCCAATTATAAGATGTATGTACCAGGGGTTGTAACCCCTGCAAAATTCGTTGCTAAACTAGCAAGGGTTAAAACCTTTGGTTTATTCGTCACTAAATCAATTTGCAACCAAAATAATCGTCACTACAGAGAGATTTATTAACATATTGAACTACATAAAACCGTCACCAAAGAGAACCACCCAGATTGGTGGCTATAGATTGGTTTCCAATACTTTGGTCACTATACACAATCTCAGACTTGTTGCTAGCTAATTTATATATATATATATATCATTCTTGGTATAACTTAATACTCAATAGTAGTCAAATACCGTACACTATACCCATTAATATTCCATCATATTGTTTACATGGTAAAAAGCTAACTACCATAAATATTCAAAACATAATCCAAAGATACATGGCCTACTCAAAATAATCTAATGATCCCTTCTGTGGCAGCGTTCATGGAGTACTCCATAGTCCATCAGTATCGCCCCTTCCTGCAACCATCCCCAGTAACACATGCAAATATTGAACAGTCATTAATGGCGTTCATGTCAAAGCTTTTAGGAAAATTAGAACCACAGTCCAGTGAAAGCTCAATAACCTAATAATGAGCAGAACATTGGGTTCATTTGGCCAATCCCTACTAATCTGTCTATGCTTTTCTGCTTCCTATACCATTCCTCTAGTGGAAAGTTCTTAGTGGAAAAAAATTATGAATAAGATTTGAATCCAAACCTTTACTATGAGATCAACTGCTTTGTATGCGGAATCTATTGGACCAGTTCCTACAGCGCAGGCGATGCTCCTCCCCGTCAGCATCAGTGAGTTTGACAGTGGCAGTGAATAGTCCAAGTGTTCCGCAAGTGACCTGTGTAGTAACAATCGCATTTCAGCGATACAAATTGTATCGAGTTCACATAAACATCAAGGGAGAGGGAAGAAAGTTTACCTGCAAGTCATGAAGTTTCCAAAGAGTTTCTTGTTGGTAAACTTCATCCAAGACTAAAGTTATTAGGTCTGCAACAGTGGCTACTTACTAAAATTTCAAGTTGATGTCTTTGTCTTGGAACTTCCTCGATGAAAGGGTGGGTCTGGGGAGAAGAAAAAAGGGGAAAAGATAAGCTGTTGTCCGTAGAAATGAGACCCCAAACAAATGATGTTGTAACACTCACTAAGAGGTCCACTGACAACACTCTGTCAAAAGAAGAGTTTAAAAACAAGGAAGCTGACCTCACATGCTCATTACCATCACTTAGCCTTCCACTGCTATTGCCTGCAAGATTCCACCAAGAGCTACAGCTTGTTAGTTCACGGCTGCATGAACTAATCAACTAGGCGTAATATTTCGATTAATGTTTTGCTTTAGCACCTCCATGTAGAGACTAATATCAACATTGGCTTGATGTTTGTTATTTTCTCTCTTGTAGATAGTTTAGTCAAAAATCTGTACGTATTATCAGGTTGTGTTACAGAGCCATTAAGTTGGACTACTCTCACATGCTTGTTACAAACCGAAAGCATCTATTGTTTGGGGCTTACTGTGGTCGAGATTCATTAATCAAGCTCGATTAAGTAGCAGAAGAAGCATTTCTACTGTCAACCATCAATGACTTGCTACTAAGCATGAGGAAACCCGGTTCGTAAAGGATTAGGACAGTAATTTTAAAAAAAGGGCTAAACAAAACCAGTTTCACTAACCCTTTCAGTTTTGTATCTGTATTGACAACCCTTAGTTCATATATTATTTGTATTGAGACAAGTCAGGTGTACTAACCTTCCTGGCTTGATGATTCCACTAACATCATGAAGTATTGACAATAGTTTCTTTCTGCTTGGTTGGTAGAATTTGAGAGTTCAGGAGTCCCTTCAAATTAAAGAGATAGTGGGTCAGCAAGATAGATTCAGGACTAGCTCTCTTGCTCTTCATCATATAATAATAAATATCCAAAAGAAATTTAGTTTGTGTCCTAGTAGTGTTAATTCAGTAAAAAAATTGTCTCAAACATGCTAATAGAGAAGTTGAAAGCTCACCAATGAAATAGAGTAGAGCAGGTAGTTGGTCCTCGTGTCCTGCAGCCTGTCACTCATCAATGAATAGGATAGAGTAGGTACGTTGGTCCTCATACCCTACAGCTTGCAACCTATGTCGATTGAATGACCATGAAAGTATAGAAGAGGATATACACCCTGTATGAACCTTAAGAGAAAATGAAATATTTGAAGCACAACCATCTTTTACCTATTTTACTGAAACAAAACCACGATTTTTCTCAAGGAGGTTGCTGAACATGGATCAAGCATGACATGTTTCACCCATCGCATCAGGTGAGTTTGCCATCTGATCTGAGAGCTCTTTCTTCAAAGAAGTTGGCATTCCTGATATCTCCTGAAAAACATACACACCCCGCATAGCAAATGGAAAGCTTCATTAACTACAGTCCACAAGCAATCGTACCACAAGCCATTTACTACCATTTGAATACAAAAGCAAAAAGACAGATGTAGTCAATGATGTTTGGAAAACATATTCAGAATCCTAATCTATAACTCATCCGGAAGCTAAGACACTCTTGAATCTATTACAGCCAATTAAGCAACAGATGTTTGGAAACAAGAAGTTCCTAAAGGGGAGTGTGGTAGATCACTACCTTCATGAGATGACATCACAACTTGGAGTAGTTGAATTATAAATCAGCAGCAGCTTCCTTTTTCTCTTCAATCTGCCAATTTAGTCATTATACATAAATCATTATCATACAATGTTTCACCTCATCGAAAAGCTTTTTCAGAAGTCAGAACAGCTCCCACCTAGGAGATCAGAGGCCACACAAACAGTAAGCAAACCAGAGCGCCATTAAGTTCAGGCATGTATCTCTATGAGATAAAATATCAAACACCTTAAAGCTCGATTATGTTACCTCCTTGGTGTCGCACGCTTGACTATAGTCAATATGTCGGTATCCGATATGCATTGGAAAACAGAGAAGCCACTTCTGCATAAGAAAATAGAAAATGCTAATAACTATAAATATTCAATTGGAACTTGTGCTGAGTTTGTGATAGGGCGGGATCCTTGAATAACTCGCAGATGAATGGAGCTTAAAGGTTCATAGTGAACACCTGCAGTAACATTTTCAAGACTTGTATTCATCATCAAACAAAACAATTAGTGTTTCTTAACACAGAAAGAGAAATAATGCAGCAATATACCTTGTTGGTTGCGGCTGCATATTCAGCAACAAGCTGGATGGAGTCAGGGGACACAGTAAGGAAGAATCCAGCAATGTAGAAGTACTTGGCCTTCTCAACTGTATGAAAAAACCTATCCCAAACAAGTTGGTTCCTCCACATTTCCAAGTGCATAATAATAACAACAATAGGATAGATAGATAGATAGATAGATAGATAGATAGATAGATAGAGAGGAAGGGAAGTTGTTACCCAATGCCCAATTGGCTTGTTTCTAGAGATGGTCAGGCTTATAGTAGTTTCTGCTGATAGATTTGCTACAACTGATCTACATATATAGAAAACAAATTAAAGCAATCAGAGACCAGAACATAATGTAAAATCCTAGAATTTAAGGGATCGGAGTACAACTAGCAAGGATAAGCATTAAGGGAGACGAGTAATAGGTGAAATTAAGGGGGGATGAATTTTTATTTGATTTGGGCATGGAAGGGGAGGAGACGAAGAAGCAGAGCATCGTCCCTTTGTTGGTTGCGTCTACGTCGAGCGCCATAGTAAAAAAGGCACCGGAGAGCCAATCCATGTTCCTTCGTCTTCTGCTGCTTCTGACTTCTACCTTCTACTCTTACATGGACAGAATGTTCTATCTACCACAACAAGAAGTATTGTTTTCGATCAAAATATAAGAGAGACTGATAGAGAATAACCTATTGATTTCAATCGGGGATTTGAATCTCTATCAAATTTCACGAACAGCTACTAGAGAGTTCATTAACCGCCCATCGAATCAGCTTCGTCGGAGATGCTATCGGCAAAGCTTGCATGCTGGAGTTCGTTAACCGCCCATCAAATCAGCTTCCTCGGAGACGCTATCGGCAAAGCTAGCATGCTGGAGTTCGTAAAACGCCCATCGAATCAAAGCTCGCACGCTAGAGCTTGTTAACCACCCGTCGAATCAGCTTCGTCGGAGACACTATCGGCAAAGCTCGCATGCTGACTAGGGATTTTTGTGCTATGGAGAAGAAGATGCATTAGAAGATGGAAGCGGGAAGTTGCACTGGACTAGGGATTTGTTTCTTTAGATTTGGGACTGAGATTATTTTTGTCCAGTAGATGAAATGATGGTTTAATTACTTAATCCCCTAGCAAGGGTTTCACAACCCCTGAAATATACCGCATCTACGGGAGTTTCAGGAAACACAAACAGGGGTTTCATGAACCCCTGCTACCAAACCCTTGCCATAGACTCATTTTCTTGTAGTGGCATGCCAGCAAGTATATAATAATTGATAATTTAAAAGAAGCAACTAGGATGGCGGATTTGTTTCAAGAATTAGATTTCTAGTGAAATTGAAAAGTTGTTCACTCAAGGGAAGAAAGAATTATCATGTGGCGTATTTGGTTGGTTTGCTTCGTGTATTTGAAGAATTAAGATTTTGGCATAACTTGGATTTTGAAAAAACCATATATAAATAAGGGTTTTGTGTTCATTATTGATTTTTAAAACACTATTGTTTGTTTCATGGATTTCATTATGTTTTTTATAATTAATTTTGTATGTATAAAGTGTAATTTAGCTTTATTGTCCTCAATGATATAAGAAAAGAAGGAAAATATGTGGGGTAATGTAGACACCACATTTTGTCTGGGATAATTGTTTTATTGATAATAATTATTGTAACATCATCTACTATTTTATTTTAAAAGGAAGCTCAATATAGTTTGGTTGAGACTAGAAGTTGCAAGTCAATATAAACTAACAATGGTCAAATTTGCTCCTAGTCGATTATAGGACATAATTAGACAACATAGTATCAGTTAGTTAAGATTAGCAGTGGCAAATCTTAAATATCAATTCTCAATTCGATGGAAGAAATGACTATTGTGCAAATTTTGCTCCGTGCTCGAGTTTGGATTTGGAAGATGAAACCGGACAAATCGAATAGGCATAAACTTTATTATCAACTGCATTGTACAAAAATACAGTAAATATTAAAACTAATTACAATGACCACAGATAAAAGCAGACATTGTAATAATTGGACCCATTCCTCCTCCCTTGTGACCCAAACCAAACAGGAACCTGCAATACAAAAAAGGACTAGTTAAGTTCAACCATAAGGTGCAATTTATGGCAGAATCCGGCCCAAACCTAAAGAAACCCAAGTCCAAGTCTAGTTGAAACATGCCCCATATCGCAAGCCCAATTCGGCTCACAAACCCACAGTCGGTCTCGGCCCAACACGTCTAAGCCCACCTTATATAGCCTATTACGCATTTCAAGGCATGACAACAGTCTTGTAGAGGCAAATAAACAAAACCTTGAATTAGAAACCAACACGTGGCACATTTTTCCTACTACAAATATAGCTTTTGAGCTCTTGTTGCATGGGGGATTTTTCGGAGAGAAATTTCGATAGGCAGACACACTTAATTATTTTCTTCTTTTCACTCTTTCGGTTAGACGAGGATCAGTTTAGAGCTACGCAGGTTGGTGCTTGTACACTTTCCTTTTTACTGATAAGATCTCATCTTGTTCAAGCTTTTCTCTATATGAATCACTTTATTTAAGCACTTAACTATCAACATGATTTAATTACGCCAATCTCCTTTCATTTAGTTATTTTCCAAGCTGAGTACTTGCCAATCTGTTTAGCTATTTATTTACTTCCGCCGATATATTTACCCGCTCTGCTTTCAATTTCATTTCTATAAAGCTTTATACTTGCATTCAAGCTATCTATTTTATCACCTCTATTAGCTATATTTTGTCTATCTTAATTTACGTCATATTCAAATTCCTGCATTTTGTTTAGAACACACATAGACAAAAGATAAAAGTAAATACTACTGTGTTTAGTTCATGCTCTCTGTAGATCCAGATCCAACCAAAATTGCCCAAACACAATAAATTTCATATTTGAAAACCCACAAATCAACCGTAGTCTATTAAAATCGCAATCAGTTGCTGCAATTTATAGGAGTTAAAGTACAATTAATAACAAACACCATTACACAATAATTTTGAGATTTCAAAAACCAACATCAAACTCCATAATCTAGCAAAATCACAAGCAAAAGTAGTGATTTACAGTCTCTAATCTAGCGAAATCACAAGCAGTATAGCGATTTATGGTCCCTAATCTAGCAAAATCACGGGTAGAGGTAGTGATTTACAATCGCCAAAACTAACAATTTAGAGCATGTTAATTAAATCTTCATTACAAAAAAAAAAACCTTTTTAGCAATATCTATCATATCAAAAGATATTTCCAAAACCAACGATCAACCCAATCATTTTTACCAAAATAAGATATGTGCATCAATGTCAAACGCACAATTTATCATTTTTTCTGTTCAAATTCCATAATCACATTAAGCCAAGTTTAGGACATCCTTACCCAAGTCTGTCCAATCCGAAAGCCTGCCAAAAACAATGAAGTAGAGATCAGAGCATGGCCATTATAAACGAATCTTAGAAATAAAATAAATAAAAACTCACCCGACCCTTTCTTCCTTGTCGTCGGCGACAAGCTTTGTCCCTCCTCCTGCCGCCCGCTGCTCCTTCTCTCCTCACACAAAACCAAACAAAAAAAAAAAACTAAATCCCAATTCTAGAATTGAACATCAAAAGAAAACCCCACACATAAAGCAGAACCTTACCTAGATCAAGCCATGACCAACGAAACAACCTTCCATCGCCAGCGGATCCTTCTTTTCCCTTCTCCTCCTCATCCGAAAGCAAAACCCACAAAAAAAAAAAATTCAGAAACCAAAAATCCTCAAGATCACTTAAAACGAATCAAAAAGACCATGCATGTCTCGATCGATTTAGTGCGATACGAGCGGTCTCCTCGACTAGCCGAGAGAAGGCGAGGAGAAGAGGGGAATGGCAGCGGTTAAAGAGAGGGTATGGGTTCAGTTATTGTTGAAAGTAAAGAAGACGTTTTCGTTTTCTTTCTTTCTATTTGTAGATGGAACGAGAGAGAGGGGATAGTGTTTGTACAAGAGAGGAAAGAGGAGATACGGTCGCTGCTAGGGTATAATGCCATTAGGGTTTCATTTTGTCTTAAGAAGACGTTTATATACTTCATCAATTACAAAGACCGAAATTCCCTTAGGGTTTCACTAGATATATCATCCCTGCCACCATGTTTTTGCGTTATTACAAAATTACCCCCGCCTTGTCTTTGCACTAAAATCATAAAAACTATTGCGAGCGAGTTTTGAACCCATGTCCTCGAGTACAAAGGCAACCTACAATCAGCGGTTTAGCCAGTGGGCTAGCCGACCATCATTCGTAGAAACGATATATCCATTTTATTATTTTATTTTTCCTTAATACAAAATTTTGAATCCGAAGTAGTCTCTAAGTTAGGTCAATTCCATTTTTTCAAATACGCAAAACCTTTCTTTTTGTTTCAATATTAGACATATTATTCGCTTTATATATTTCTCTAATCAAAATAATTTATTTGATAATCACGATCAGTGGAACGTGATTATAACTAAAACACAAAAAAAAATAACGAATTACGTGGACTTTGATCCCGTGTTACGGGTACGTAGGCAGCCGATAAGGTTCGAGTCCAACTAACCAATTAACTTTATCTTTATATTATACGTCAATGGACTTATAATTAAATTAAAAATAATACAATAAAATTATTTAATTGTCCGATGGGACCCAGAAAATACAAAATTATTACTAAAAACACACCCAACACATTTAAACTTACAAAATTAAGTAGTACCGATTTCAGGTGTTGTGGGGTGTGATTTCACTTCGCCACACGTAACCGTACTCCCGAATCCCTATCTCTTAATCGCAGACCATGTCGGTTATGACCCTAAGGTTAGAGTCGACCGAAAAGTGTTAGATCCACTCCAAGTAAGATCGATGGTGACTCCCAAAAGCGAACGCGACCCCGACCCCGACCCCGGAGGGACGGTTGCGACAGTAGGTTGGTAAAAAAATGATGGACTTCAAATTCCATAGTGAATTCCCACCTATAGAGAATGGATTTTCAAGTCCGTGGAGCCCATGGATTTGGGCCCTCAAAGTCCATGGGTCCCACGAATTTGTTACCTCTAAATACTTAAATCCATCACTAAATCTTTCACCAAATCCACCAAGCAAACAAGTCTACCCTCACTTTGGAAGCTATCCACTGGGATGCAAATTAACATTTGCAACACTTTCCAGCTAGAGTAATATGGTCCTCTATTATTGAGTCTCTACGAGCTGGTGTTCGGTGGTATAAACTATAAAGTGCTTTGGAAAAAGTATGATGTTTAGTGTATTGGGTTACAAGTATAATATGTCTTTATTAGAAGTATTGGGTGTCAATTGTAATTTATCATTATTCCGTGTGTTAGAAGGATTGGTTAATTACTTTGTAGTCCTTGAGATAGGATATTCGGCTAGGATAAATAGGTGGTGTTAGCCGAACTTGTAACCTAAGGATTCTCGGTGAATGCAATTGACTCTGAGAGGTTGCTCCTCTCTCTGGATCAGTCTCAACAATACTTTGAGGATACCACTTAAATCGGTGTGTTCGTGTTTTTATCCTTCTGCTGATTTTATGTTTGACATGGTATCAGAGCCTTCTATAGCCAAGAGATCTTGTATTCGAATCACGGTGACCCCATTTGTGAAGCACATGTATTCTTGTATTCGGAACATGTGCAAATGAAAGCCCTTATGAGTCGACTGCCTTTTGTTTGAGGGGTTGTGTTAGTGAGTGGTATATGATCCACGATTGAACCTCTCACTTGAAGGAGCTTGGCAATGTGTCCTATATCTTAGGACTGGAGGTTCATCGGTCTCCTGCGAGATTGCTTGTGAGTCAACAAAAGTATATGCAAAAATTCCTATATTTTTATGAATAGCATTATTATTATTATTTATTTTTTTTTTTTGAATTCAAAGAAATTAGAATTCTCAATTCCGGCCGAAATTTAGGGGATAAAATATTTTCAAGAACAAGTAAATCATAATCTTTTTTCTATATTTCCAATTCTACTTTGATCCCGTTCAATAGATTCGGGATAACCTGTTCGAAATGACTAATATTGATGAATGCGAGCTTTGTGCTACTCCCATGGAGCAAAATCTAAAGTTACATCAATCTGATGGTGACTTGCTCGTTGATAGTTCCTCATACCGTAGTATGGTAGGGAGTTTGATATATCTCACGCATACCAGACTGGATATTTCTTATGCAGTGCAAGTTGTCAGCCAGTTCATGTGTGCTCCTCGCACACCACACTTGGTAGCGGTTACTGGCATCTTGTGATACTTGAGGGGTACAACTGATGAAATGTACCACGGAGTCCCGTTTTCATCTATTCTAGCGCCATTCACACCAGCGTCTTGCGCATAATGAAGAAGAAAGACATGTCTTCTTTATATTTCTTTATATAGTCAGACTGGGCTTGTTCTTCCCTTCTTCAAGTGATCCGGTTATTGAGGCTTATCCAGATGCAAATTACACAGGGTGTTTGGATACTCGTTTTTCAACATCTGTGTGGTGTGTGAAGTTTGGTTCCTCCTTTATTTCATGTTGGTGCAAGAAACAAGAGAGGGTTTCCAAGTCTTCCACGGAGGCTAGATATCGTTCAATGTCAGAGCTTACATCGGAACTTGTGTGGCTTTGACTATTAGTGGCTGAGCTTGGTGTTACATGTGTGATTCCTATGCGCCTATTGCAGATAACACCAATTTGATTCGTATAGCTATGAATCTTAATCTTCATGATCTCACTAAGCATATCGACGTTCATGTTCACTATATTTGTCAGCTGGTTGCCGAGGGAGTGGTCGAGCTATCTTACATTACTTTTGAAGATCATACGACAGACTTGTTGACGAAGGCGGTTGCGACTTCTCGCCATCGGTTCTTTGCTTACAAATTAATGTTGCGTAAGCATCATCAATTTGAGGGAGGGTGTCAGAAGTATTGGGTGTCAATTGTAATTTACCATTATTCTGTGTGTTAGAAGGATTGGTTTACTTTGTAGTCCTTGAGATAGGGTTATTCGGCTAGGATAAATAGGAGGTGTTAGCCGAACTTGTAACCTAAGGATTCTCGGAGAATACAATTGACTCTGCGAGGTTTCTCCTCTCCGTGGAATAGTCTCAACAATACTTTGAGAATACCACGTAAATCGGTGTGTTCGTGTTTTTATCCTTCTGCTCATTTTATGTTTAACACTTTTTACTATGATTTTTTATCAAGCATGTTTCTCTATTATAATTTACATCAAACATAGTCCTGTACTTTAGAAATTTTTTAACAAAATGAAAATATGTTTGACAATTTTTTAAAAGTACATGGGTGTGTTTGTTGTAAAATATAGTTGAGGGGCATGTTTGATACAAGTGAATAATGGAGGGACATAATATATCTATGACCCTAGCGTATTATGTGAAGGTAACTTAGTTATCATATCTTTTTTTCAATGCACTGTTCTCCGAAGTTTGAGATGAATGTCTTGCAATGGAATATTTGACAAATCAACAAAGAAAAACAACACACGACATAGTTGATTTATGTTGTATTCTCATTCAGTTTGAACAAGAGTAATTCACATAGAAGAACACCTCATCAGTACACTATTAATGATGACAGATTCTCGCATCTTAAAAAGGATATAGAACCCTAATTTCAAAAGTAGCTAGGGTTGCGTATGGAGTGGAAAAGAAAACAAAGAACTAATTTCACTACAAGAAAACTGATAATTAGCGGCTAAGTGTATGTGTCACGGTAAGTGATTTGTGTGCCCCTATAGTTTTATAGAAGCACATAATTGTGTGTTGTTAATAGTATTGTTGTTAAATCTTTTTAACGATAGATGTTGTGGTAAATACAATCTACCTCTAATGTTGGAATTTGCAAGAAATAGTTTTGTTGCCAAATTTACTTTTGAATTGCTATTTTATTCTCTCATTTTCCCGGCTCAAGATCGGGTGCATAACTATGGGTTATGCATCCATCAATAACCAAATATGTACCCTTCATTTAGAAAATCCAGATCTAAGGATGAAGAATTAAAGACCATTTTTATTTTCCCTAGCTTTCTTAATCGGCTCATATCTATTTCGTTTTAACTTGGATTTTAATTTTTATTTTTATTTTTGCTTAGGTGGAATGAGTTCATTGTGCTCTACAAAATGAGATCAATTTTCAATTTTTGTTAAAACAAAAAATTCTGGCCTCTCGGTACCAACTGCATACCATATGGTATTTTCTTCGTTTTTTAAAACGTTCACATAGAAGGGACGAGTTCATCATGATCTATTGGGTCTACAAATTTCTGGATGAACAAATTACAGGACCAAAAAATTCCACACAATACCATACAATACCACCCTGGTACGGGGTGGTATCTTATGGTACACAATGTTAAAAGTCGTAAATGACAGTTAATATATTTCTACTATCATGTATTCAAGCATCCTATAGTCTTGGTTTGTTCATACCACCATGGTACGCTTTTCAAACCATAGGTATGCTCTTATTTCAATACCAGTCAATACCATATGGTACAGACTGGTAAAAAATGACACAATTTTTTTTGTTCGAAAAATATATCAAAGTGGATATCATTTTGAAGAGCACACTTAATCTGATCTAACTGTGTAAAAAAAATTAAATTTCAACTTAAAACGAGTGAGAAATCGTCTGTCAAAGATTAAGGAGGGGAAAATTTTAGACTTTCCAGGAGAAAGAGGGATGTTGATGTCATGCTGATGTGGACGGGTTACTCATGGTTACTCACCATACGGTTACTGGCTTGATCCGTTCCTCATTCTCCCACTTTAATAGCACAAATATTTGCCAACAATGTTACCTTTAATGAACTATGTGCCTTTAATAAATTATTCTTGTCACTAATTTCACTTTACATCATTATTCATTTAAATTTTAGAGACATATTAACTGCCTCTATTTTTTTTTATCACAAATGTATTTGATGGTGACTGTACTTTTTGGAAGCACTAATAATTGCTTGTGATTAAATTTTTTACTTTTTGTGTATTTTATGTGGATATGGTGTCCGAATGTATTCGAATATATTCAATATAATATTTATATTATAGTGAAACATATATTATTTAACATTAGGTTGGGAGGACATTAGGGTGTACAATTGGAACGGATATGTAGTGAAGTACCTGAAGGCGGGGTTGGCTGCGTTCAAGGAGTGGGCGTGTGGGTTCCTAGGGATATGAAACTTCTTGATAGTAGGTAATCTTACTAATCGAATACTAGTATGCCATATGTGAATACTAGTCTGCCATAGTTGAATATCAGTCTGGTATATATAAATACAAATCTGATTTAGTGAATTGATTGTTTTTTGTTAGGTTCATTTGTTGGACTTTACCAAGGTTCTAAATCTTGGCACCTGCACCTCCACGAGTTGTAGTTATTGGTTCAAAGAAAAGGAGGTTCGTTTACTAGAAGTTGTGGTCGGTGGTAAGAATGCTGGGATATTTACCTTGCTCGGGATAAGGGCAGAAGTGAGATCAAGATTTGGGTTGCAGGAGCCACCACTACTTGTCAATAAGAAGGAACAAGGGGAAAGTAGCAGGTCACCTCCTCCTGAATTATTCAACAAGGACTAGTGGGAGAAAGTTGATTTTAAGCTTCTTGATTTACAGCAGGTATGCAACTACCTTCTTTGTAGCTTAAGCTGTGTTGGATAGAGTGAACTGAATGGTTTATAATATATGTGTAGTTTAAGGTGTTGAAATCCATTGTGCGACCATTAAGGAGGGTGTGGAGGTTGGGGAGGAGATTGCTAGATGTCAATGCTATGAAGGATCTGATTGAGGATAATAATGTTATGGATGAGTCAGGCGAGGGGCCAGATCATGTGATTGTGCTTAATGTGGACAGGGAAAGTGAGGAGTGAGATGATGAGACTAGAGCAGAGAAGACTGTTGGTGACACTGCTGGGCAGATTGGTGGTCAGGAGAAGACTGTTGGTGAGACTGCTGGGGAGATAGGTGGGGAGGAGAAGACTGGTGGGGAGACTGTTTTTAGTGGGGAGCAGACTGCAGGGGAGGATAAGAATGGTGAGAAGACTCCTGGTGGTGAGGAGAAGGCTTATGACTATGTGGTTCCGCTGACGCCTACATAGTGGTTGGCAGATTTGAAGACTCCTTCTTTCCAGAGGTCAAGGAAGAACCCACTTGCAAACTCGGTCTACGACTTGAGCAAGATTGTGTCTGCAAAGCTCGACCCAACAACTCGTAATGTAGTTGAGTTCGTCCTCAGTTCCACTGACAAAAACGAGTAAGTCCTCGAACGGTACTTAATTTCATGTGCAATGTTGGAAGAACAACTAATAAAATGGTTCTCATGTATGTCATGTAGTGGTTGCATCATAGTGGAAACGGGGTCCTTGAAGTCGCTCGATTCCATTTGGAGTCACTAAAGCGCGTAACCTAGGTTGAGAAGTCTGTGATTGAAGCGTACAGGGAGTATCTAAATTGCAAGGCAGTTTGCAAGGCTTCGTTCATCAAGAAATGTGTCTTTCCTAAGGCATTTGGTCTAAGTATGCTCTTCACTTTTATCGTCACATTTAAGTTGCAAGTGTAAGATTCATTATTGTAGATGTTCCTTTGTTTAATAGGAGAAAGCCCTTATTGGTTAGAAGTCTAGAAGGACATTGTACAAGCCAACTCTGGAAGAGTCACTACTTGTTGCGAAGAACCACACTCTTCTCGGTCGTGCACCCTTTGAACAATGCGAACATGTAAGTTGCGAGTCTGACATTTTTCAAAACCATTATGGCCTAGTGAAATACAAGTCTGTCAATTTTATGTATCATTATGGCTTAGTAAAGTACAAGTCTATCATTTTTCAATACCATCCTGGCCTAGTGAAATACGAGTCTACCATTTTTCGATACCATTTCATGTGTTCTTCCCCATATTTGAAAATTTCACTATCGCGTCTTCGCTACTGATTTGGGTAATAAGAAGATGTTCCTGCATAACAGCCAAAAACCGGTAGATCTAGTTGCAAAGAAGGATCATGCACTAGTAGGGAATCTGATCTTTCAACCCACTGCAGCGTTCTTTGCGTGGAAGGAAATCGAAGATCCCATGGTCAGTGGTCGTTCACTATTGCTGATGTTCCTCGGCAAATTGGAAACGATCATTGTGGGGTCTTCGCGTGCATGTTTATGGAGCACTGGGAAGTGCACCATGATGCCACCAACTTGGTGAAAGGCAGAACACGTTGATCAACAGCAAGCCGTCATTGCTGGGAGCCTCTTGCTTTAGGAGGAAAACAGGCACAAAGAGGAGCTACTGACTTTTGAGAATGAGTGGGAGAAGGATTCGGGCAGGGGAAAGGGAAAGAGGCATAAAAGGTGAAAGGAACTACTTTTCAAATGTAATGATTTTGGGCAATTTCAAATGTATTTAGTGGGAGAATGATGGATACTCTCATGGCATATGTAGATGGTACTTTGTTTATGTGGTTGAGTTCTCTCTTGGCATATGTAGATGGTACTTCATTTATGGATGGAACTCTCTTTAGAAAAGACCCAAATACAACTTCAGTAAACCCCCAATATAACTTCCGAAAAGATCCAATACTACTTTAGTAAAGACTCAATACTACTTCCGAAAATACCCAATACTACTTCAATAAAGACCCAATACTACTTAAGTAGAGACCCAATACTACTTCATTTCCGGATGGGTTCCTCGGTGTTATTGTCCTCCTTCGACCCTGACTCAGTTTCAGATAACTCGAGAGAATCATAAAACACCTCTTCTAGGGTGGCTAACTCGATGCATTCCATGTAACTACATACCTTGTCATCCTCATTCTCGTACAATGGACAACGGAAGAATCTCTTCGGTGCGCCATCTCCACCAACAAAAATACGTCTACTGGCTCTCCAACCATGATAACAAACAACATCTCCATCAAAATTGAACTCGTCTACCTCAACCGAAATTTGAGATTTGGGACTATCTCCTGTCATGGACTATGGATGAGAAGAGAAGAAGAAGAGGTGGTGTTTACTAAGTTGGTGGTGCTTGAATAAGTGGGTGATGCTTGAATGAGTAGGTGATGCTTAAATGGACGAAGAATCACGTGGCAATAGTGACCAAGAATTACATGCTAAAATTACAAATGTTCACATACGAATAATACAAATACTCACATGTGAAAAGTACAACAAGTTAGTACAAAACAGCCTGCTTACAAGTTCAAAATTACCTATTTATTGACTTTTAAAATTTGTTGAGTGTTGTCTTCCACTTGTTGTATACTTACTCATCAACTGTCGACAGCTTCGTTGCTATTTGATGGAACATTGTAGTGGTTTCTTAGTACCGCATAACCGTACAGTTTCCTTTCTCCGCTTTATTGTCAACCTCTGCAGAAGACCAACATCAACATCATCTTTTTTTCTCGCCCCCAATGTCTAGGGGCGGGCAAACGATTTTCAGTTAGCGGGTAACCACCGGTTACAACCAAAATTAATTGGTTACAAGCTAACCAAGAACCGACTTTGTTGTATAGCGGTCGGTGTTCGGAGGGTTGGGGAGGAGGGTCGGTTAGCCGAGTAATCGAAGGCGAATGCATTACCCGACTCGCTCACTTGTGTTGTCAAGTGCAGAGGTTGCCATTAACAAAGTCGTTTTTGGCGAAACATTCATCAAGCATGGTGCTCCATGCCACCTCGAACTCGGCCTCAATGTAGACCACGTAAAAAAGATAACTCATACGACCTTGTAAATCACCCAAAATGGCCTTGTTCTTAACAAAATGCCTACTCGCATTCATGAGAATGTGCCAAGTGCAGAGGGCATGAAATACCGTAGGCCAGTTTTTTCTAAGTGCAGCTGCCATGGCTGTGTCGTGGTCAGTAAAGATGGTTTTTGGGAGCTTCTTCTTCATGCGTCGACTGAATCAAACAACCATTCAAAAGAAGCAATTGACTCATCAAATAACAAACCCCAACACGCAAGTTTGTCGGTGGTGATTGAAACCTACAAACATTCATGAACAAGACAAGTTGTAATGGATGAAACAAGTATTCATGACAATGTCCCAAAACAAAAACAAAAAGATATATGTGATTCGCTTGCCCAATGTCTGAAATGCTGAGTAAGTTTGAGATGCCGTGTCGAATGAGACCGAGTCTCCAACTAGTTCGTAATCTTCTCGCATCCTTTTATTTTCCCAAAATATATTGGCCACTTGCTCATAGCAATCTACCTCAACCGCATAGAAGAATCTGTGATGCTTAACCAATTGATCTTGAAAGTACTCAAGCAACTATGTAGCTTCTTCATGAGGCATATCCTTTTGTCTTTTCCTGCTCAAGTGGTTCTTCTTCCACCTCTCCTTTTGATTTCTTCTTTATCTTCTGGTGTTGGGCATATTTTTGCACGCCGAACCCTTTCTCGTGAGCGTATCATGCATAGTAATGGTATCCTTGGTGTGAAAGAAAATGTTTTGTCTCTCTTCCTCATCTTTTAGGTCCAACGAATTTAGAGTTGCGAAGTAAATGTATGGTCAATTTCAATTGGACAAGTATTCAACAGCGCCCAATAAGTATTCACATTCGCACAACAGGTATTCACATTCTCACAAACACATATTCATAAGTGTCTGAAAAATAGTCATAGACATCTAGCTAACATTCAATGTTGTCCAACAAATAATCATAACCGTCCATCTAGTATTAAATGGTCTCGAACAAGTATTCATAAACGTGCAAATTCTACTCAATAGTGGACTAACTTGTATCCATCAGGGATAAGAAAGTATCTGAAACTTCGTAAATAATATCCATCATATATCCGACTCAAACAAACATAACAAACGTGCAACCAAGAATAGACAAACTAGTATTTGTCGCTGTCGAACAGATACTCACACACGATGAACAAGTCTTGAAAATCATCGAAAAGACGTCAAACACGCCTCAAATGCCATTTATTGCTCTCAACCAGACTCAACAACACAAACATATATAAGCCTCCTTCACTTCACCTTCGTCGTCGCCAAATCTAGTCTCGTCCAAACCATTCAAAACCGCCAATAACTCATCAGAAGAGTCATGTGTTGGAGGATCTACATAAAATTGTGATTGATTTATAGCAGATTCATGTCGAAGCTTAACGTGGTATTTCTCTCTCAGCTCAACTCACATTCTACCATCGACGGGTGATAGATCTTCTTGTTGTGAGTATCATGTCGCGCATGACAACGAAAAAAGAAGGTCGTCTTCGTCGTCGATCATCAGCTCGGACGACGATGGTCATAGATGAGAAAGGTGCTTCTGGTTTGGAGGAAGAGAGACAAAGGAAAAAAGAGAGAGGAGGCTGGTTTGAGAGAGAAAGGTGGTAGCATTAAATGCCCCTCCTTTCTCTTGATTTCTCACTGTCTCTCTCATCCTAATATTTTCACAAAATCCCGCCAAAGAAAATGCAGTGGGCCCCGCCCAAACCCTTCTTTTATTCTCGGCTTGGCTTGCGAAAACGGCTCAACCCCTCCTTCCTTCACTTAAACGAGCCTGCCCCACCACCATCCAATCCCAACCCTTCGTTGCCGGCTCCAGGGACATGGCCCTCCCTCCCGCCATGTGAGCACGTCCTCACAATTTTCCGTGTGAGCAGCATAGCAAAGTTGTGCTAAACCGGCCTTAAAAGTGCTTATGTTGTCCTTTCATAATGACTCCAAATCTCCAATCATCTTTTCATTTGGTGTAGATGTGAGTAGGAACATGGGCTTCGGCCCAGCTAAGAGGTCAAGCTTAGAACACTTACTCCTAACAATGGGAAATTGCAAGCACGCATATTAATTACTTTCCTTTTTTCAGTGTACTGGTAGTTGTATCAGTGCAATGATATTAGTGTACAGGTGCAATGATAGATATATCAATACAATGGTAGTTCCAAAAAAGGAATGTAATTAATATGAGTTCTTTATACAGGTGCAATGGTAGTTGTATCAGTGCAATAGTAGGTAAAAAAAAGGAAATGTAATTAAGATGAGTTTTTAATTTCCAAAGATTATTAAATGCAACACTAATTTAATACAAAAAATCACTATAATGAATAGGGATGTCATTTTTCCAACCCCTTAATAGGGCTCAAGATAGGGTGCATAACCATGGGTTATGCACCCATCAATAACCAAATATGGACCCTTCATTTAGAAAATTCAGATCTAAAGATGGAGAATTAAAGGTCATTTTTATTTTCCCTAGCTTTCTTAATTGACTCATATCTTTTTCGTTTTAACTCGGATTTTTTTTTTTCACAGATAGAACGAGTTCATCGTGCTCTACAAAATGAGATCAATTTTCAATATTTTTTGCGGAAAAAAAATTATGGTCTCTCGGTACCAACTGCGTACCATATGGTATCTTCTTTGTTTTTAATTCGTTTTTGAAAACGTTTGCACATAAGGGACGAGTTCATCATGATCTATTGGATCTACAAATTTATGGGCGAACAAATTACACGACCAAACAATACCATACAATACCACCCTGGTACGGGGTGGTATCTTATGGTATACAATGTTAAAAGTCGTAAATGACAATTAATATACTTCTACTATCATGTATTCAACCACCCTACAGTCTTGGTTTGTTCATACCACCATGGTACGCTTTTCAAACCATAGGTATGCTCTTATTTCAATACCAACCAATACCATATGGTATATACTGGTAAAAAATTACTCATTTTTTTTTGTTCGGAAAATATATCAATGTGGATATCATTTTGAAGAGCACAATTAATCTTATCTAACTGTGCAAAAAAAATTAAATTTTGACTTAAAACGAGTGAGAAATCGTCCGTCAAAGATTAAGGAGGGGAAAATTAAAGGCTTTCCGGGAGAGATAATGTTGATGTCATGCTCATATGGACGGTTTACTCATGGTTACTCACCATAAGGTTACTGAACTGATCCGTTTTCCCTTAATAAGGTTAGCATGCTAACCTATCCAATTAGGTCATACACTTTCGGTTTCATTTAAGTCGAAAAACGGAAAAATATTAGTCTAAATGAATACAACTCATTCAGTCCTGCTAATAAATTCTGGTACAGAACGAGAATTAAACGGAAGGGGGTATATTGACAACGAGGATGAGTATTTACTCAATCATGAAGGGGGTTTCTTGGAGGAATTTGTGTACTAGTAAGCATGAAGGCGGCATGGGGTTTCGCCGCTTTGAACATTTCAATCAAGCTTTGCTAGCTAAAATTGGTTGGCGTATCCTTATGAAACCCCAGTCCCTTCTTGCGCAGGTGTATAAGGGTAAATATTTTCCTACTGGGACGTTTCTTACTGCTCAGGCTCGGTCTCGTCCCTCTTGGGGGTGGCAAAGTATCCTATATGGGCGCCTTTTGTTGGAGTCAGGGTTGCGATGGCAAATTGGAAATGGTCAGAAGGCTCCACTGCTCTCATCCAGTTGGATCCCTCAGCATCATCCCCGCCACCCAGTCTATAACCCGTGCGTGGTTCCTGATGGGGAGGGGTTAAAGGTGGAGGAGGTGATCCACCAAGGGGAGGGAAGATGGAATGAGCAAAAACTCAGTCAATAGTTTGCCCCGGTTACCTGTAAAGCCATTAAGACCATCCCTTTGCCACGCCAGAATATTGAAGATACATTGATATGGCATCCGACTGCGGATGGCATTTTCTCTGTTAAATCTGCGTATTATGTCGTGGTAAATTTGGACCGTCAGAATGGCCGGTGGCGGGCTTTGGCTAGTTGGATGGATAAGCCAAGTTGGATCCGGCTGTGGGACGCGGATATTCCTCCGAAGGTTAGGGTGTTTGTTTGGCAAATCTTTCATCGAATTCTTCCTACTACGGAAGCGTTGTGTGAAAAAAAGGTGGACGTTCTACCTCGATGTTCGGTGTGCTGGGCGACGTCGGAAACTCTGGAGCATTTGTTCTTGGTAGCTAGACAGGCCCTGTCCTTATTCCCGACTACTTGTCGCTTTTTTGATTTTCGGGCCTGGCTGTATTCCAGGATGTAATGATCTATTGATTATCTTTTGTAAAAAAAAAAAAAATACTCAATAAGTTATGTATAAGCGAATGTCCAAGAGAATCTTCCCAACTTTTTAGATTCCCCGTAATCAACAAGAAAATGTATCCACCATTCTCCAATTCTCACATACCTCCTAGAATCCCTACCTCCTTGTTTTGTGACCGCCGACGAGCTTCAGCCCCCACGACACATCCTCACACCTCCCCACCGGACCACCCGTCCCCGGCGGATCGGGATAAGCAAACCACGGCGGGAAATGGAAACACGGCTCCAGATTGATCGCCCTCTCACAAGCCGATTCATCAGCACCCCGGGGATGGTACGGATCAGGAATCATCACAATCCATGGCTTCACCCCTGCAATCCCTGCAGCCACATACCCAAAAGTCGACATACTGCTCGTCACCAGCACATCGCTCGTGCTCAACAGATATATATCCATCCACGCCTTCATGTTGTGCGAGTTATCCCCAGAATGCTGCTTCCCTTCGTGGCTAGCCTGATAAACCGCGATCCCCGTGGCCTGCCTTCTTCTCCTCCCGTACATCCAGTCGATCTCCTCGTAGTACTTTCGCGACAGCGATGCTACGAGGATCGACTTCGATGTCCCGTTTCGGAGTGTCACCTCGTCGGATTGCGGCAGGATTAATCTGTGTTTCTGAGTGCAGGATGTGATCTGTTTCATGACGGCTGTGAATGGGGTTTGCTTCGGCTCGAAGACTCGAATCTGGAACCCAATTCGCTGCTCTGCTTTGGCTAGGTAAGCTTCGTAGAATCCGGTGATGTGCCCCCAAGCTTGGTTGGATGGGCTGAAGAGGTATTTCACCAAATGGTGGAAGACGGTTTCTTGATCAGGGAACAATTTCTCCAATTCGGACCTGAACGACTGCATCTGGAAAAGGCAGGGGATGAAGTACCCATCGTGGATAAGAACCAGCCACGGAACTCGCTCGACGAACCCTTGATTCTCGTCCTTGAAGAACAGCTTGTCGTACTCGTTGTACTTGTCCTGGAGGAAGATTTGCAGGAGAGCCGGCGATGATGAAGAATCGCCGTCCTGGTCAATTTTCCCCCCTTTGTTCTGCTCCTCTTCCTTCTTCTTCAGCAAGTTCCCGTAGCTGTAACTTGCTCTGAATCTGTGGGTCTGTAACTGAAATAGGAAAGGAAAAGTTTCGGGCAGGTACCAGGTGGAGTTGGGAAACGGCTCGCAGAAGAGATCCTCCATGTCGGGTCCGAAATCGACGAGGAGGACCCGATTCGTGAGCAGAGCGTAGAGGAAGGTTGATGAAAGGCCGAGGATTCGGTTCCCCAGCCCCTGGGAAGGCGAGTAGACGACGAATTTGCAGTCGTCGGTGCGGAATTCACGAGGGTTTAGGGTCGGGTCGATTGATTCCGACAACGGGCCGCAGCGGCGGTGGAGGCTCTCGTAGTCGCGGAGCTTGGCAAGGAGGTAAGGAGACGGCTGCGGGGAAGGGGTTCTGTGGTAATTGTTGGCGGAGTAGCTGCGGTGGACGGCGCGGCTGTCGCAGGTTGGATCGTAGATTCTGGGCCGCCGGGAGGATAAAGCTAGTCTCAAGGGAAGGGAGAAAAATGGGCTTTCCGGGTGGAGGAGCGCGGCGGCGAGGAGAAGGGATGCGACGGCGAGAGCGGCCACTAGGCTTAGTCGGAACTTGCTGGAAGAGGATGGTGTGAGGAACTCCGTGAGTCGTCTTCCCATCTTCGCCGGTCGTCTCATTCCGTTGACTCTTCTTCGTTGGATCTGAAACTGCGAGGAGGGAGTTGAAGGGTAAGGGTTGAGAAATCAAAGAGGGGGAAAAAAGGCGTAGGCAGTTTGTTTATTAATGTGCAACTAGACCAAGTGGGCGACGGAGTAATGGATTTGACTGGTAAATTTTCCAAAGCTACCTTTTCTTTTTCTGAAGCGGAAAGTTTCAAAGTACAACGAAATAAAAAACAAGATTTTTTTTTTTTTTTTGGGGAAGAAGTTTAAAATATTGTTTTGACGTTGTAAAGAGGAAATCGAAACATTTGCAATTTGTCGTATAATTGTTGTCCGCTTATTTATTAATAAATGGTGTTTTTTATTCCATGAAAGGACTGATAAGTTCAGGCAATGGACTGAGAGGTAGTTTTTTGGCGGAAGAACATTGTTTTTCTTGCATCACAATGGCAGACAGTTGGCCGATGTCCACGGGTGGGAGGTTCAAGGGTATCAGTCGAAGTAATCAATTTGGAAAACCCTGCCGTCTACATATGACATCTTTTTAAAATAAGGCAAAATACACTTGTATAGCCAAAACTTTCGTGTTTGTGACAATAATAGCCAATTTTGGAGAAATACCACTTATAGCCAGATTTTTGAAAGTTTTATTACAAATATAGCCATTTCCATTACAAACTTTAACAGCGTCAGTGACACCGTTAGTTATTTTAACGGTATGATTACTGAGGCGCCAACTCACCAAACAAATCATCAACAACTCAGCTTTCGATAACAGGTGGATGCCACATCATTTTTAATTAAAATAAAATTGTAAACAAAAAAAATAATAAAAAATCTCTTCCTCGCGTCACCCAAAACCTTCTGCATTCTCCCACTAGCTCCTCTCCCTCTCCTTCCTCGTCGCCGCTGTAATCGTGTTCGCCGTTCTCTCCTTCTACTTCTGCCGAAGCGTCAACGAGCCCCGCCCGGTCACGATTACAAAACCCATGCCCCGTGCGACCGCCACAGCAACAGTCGGTTCTTCTCTGTGAATCTGGATAGGGGCTCCGGATCCAGGCACAAGCTCCACCCGCCGAATACCAACTTTGATTTTTTGTTTCTCGGGACGCTTCTGAATTCCCATGGAATTGGGGATGGTGGCGGGTCGACTTCCCATGGGATTGGGGACGCTTGTAACCAACTCCCTCTCCCCTCCTTTATCTTCTTCTGTGACCAAGGTCACATTTCACAATTTCAAGGAATTAAAGATATCTACACTCCGCATAACAGCAGAGAAAAGCGGGATTCCGCGAAGGGAGACTGATTGCGAAGAGGGAAGCGACGTCATCGCCGCCGTGGGGGAATCGACGATCTATGGTGGTTTGGAAAACTAGGGATTTGTGGCGGATGAGAGAGAAACGAGGAGAGAGAAAAGGAAAGTGAAAAGGGAGAGATGGGTGGCGAATTTTTAGTTCCTTTTTCATCTTAGTTTTGATAAATTTTAATTTTTTAAAATCAATCCGACGTGGCAATGGAGAAACTCGCCAACTCTGCCTTTTCGTTTGTCCAGTCAGCCTAATAGTTGACACCATTAAAAAATTGGATGGAAGTGGCTATAAGTGGTATTTTTCCAAAATTGGCTATTATTGGCAAAAACGTTAAAGTTTTGGCTATACAAGTGTGTTTTGCCTTAAAATAATGAATTGGCTAAATTACACGTTTCGTCACTAAAATTATACAATTTTTTCACATTTGCCACCCAAATTACTTTTCTTTCTTATTTGCCACTAACTTTACGAATCGTTTCACAGTTCGTCACCGGAAGTTACACTCCATTAAATTTGTCCTACGTGACAGTCAACTATAGAGGTTGACCGTTAACTAGATGATGTGGAAATTTAAAAGAATTAAAAAAAAATCCACCTCATCATTTCACTTATATTTATCATATTAATTATTTAATAAAAATTAATAAATTACCAAAATTAATTATTAGCCGGAGAAATAAATTGTAGAGGCCTTGTTGATTTAGCCCCTATTACTCTTCTGCATCTTCGCTTCGTCGGAATTCCCCTTTTCACAACCCAGATGAAGCTATCCTCCGACACCTCCAAAGCACCAGCAATCTCACACAGCTGAGCATTCGAAATGGCGGATATGCTCCCAAAGCACATGTACAGAACTGAATCGGGTCCATGGTCATGTTCATCTATGGCGGCGACAGTGGAATGCTATTCACCACGGCACCAAAGCTGTTGACCTCCAATTCCTCCATCTGCTCTCGCAGTTTTCTAATCCTGATATCAGATTCATCGCCTTTCAGGAAAGGCGGGAGCTGTATCTTGGTCAATTTGATTTCTTGCAGAAAGCCAGAGAGAAGAAAGGGTTCGGAATCGGAATCAGATTTCACGCCTTTGTAAGGCTCGTGGAGTTTGAGGTATGAAGTGAAGATACGGTGAATGACCGTGTTCCGTTGAAGAAGAGCCCAGAATGCAGAGTTTGCCGGCGGTTTCTGTAGCCCAGCAAAGACCATGTGTTGGCGACGAAGCAATCGCCGTCACAGCCGGAGGAGATCGTCGAAGGGTCGCTGCAAGATGGCCATGGACTTGAAGAACAGGATCATGAGGTCAGGGGACTTGATGGCATTCTCGCAACCTTTCGGCAGCCTCGGCACAGGGAATTCCATGGTTTGGATTTGAAGACCCAATTAAGCTGCAGCCTTGCCATGTCTGTCATTGGATCATGTGGGCTTGATCCATCAAAGGGAGGAAGACCACGTGAAGGCCTCGGTTGATAATTAATTTTTTTAATTTAATTAATTCTTATTAAATAATTAATATGATAAATTATATAGACAAAGTAAGTGGAATGATGAGGTGTAAAAATAAATTTTTTTTATTTTTTAATTTTCACGTCATCTAGTTAACGGTCAACCTTTATAGTCGACTGCCATGTAGGACAAATTTAACAGAGTGTAACGGCCGATGACTAACGGTGAAATGATTTGTAAAGTTAGTGGCAAATAAGAAAGAAAAGTGATTTGAATGGCAAACATTAAAGATTTTTATAGTTTGAGTGACCAAACATGTAATTTAGCCCAGATTTCTATAAAAGGGTGTTTAAAGGAGTGGTTATCGCGATCATGTTGTCAAATTGGTTTATACCATTGTGCTGATTTTGCAAGTGGTATGGTTTGATGGGGTATAATTGATTTATGTTGGTTCACGTTGGTTTAATAAAATATGTAGAAATGTGAAATATCATTAGCATCAAATGAATTTAAGCATGTATAAAATATAATTGAAGACAATCTACATTCATATTCAAATAAAATACTACATTCCAAACAAAACAGCAAGGACTCATATTTCAATACCTTTAACATCAACACTCAAATGTTTATGCTTGAATCCAACAAATAACATTAATATTTTTATATCAAGTTCATGAAAGAAATTATTCTTTTTTAAGGGTTAATAAATTTGTATGCCCCGAACTTTTCACAAATTAAACATCATGTTCAATCCTTTCGATTTAAAACTTTGTGGCCTCAACTAGGCATCAAAGTTACTAAATTGACCAAACCCGAGATTAGACCGTTATCTTGGATGGTCAAACGCGGCGACTAATGGTCAACCCGCCACATCACTGTCCTATCAACATAAAGATTATTAAATTCCACATATTACCTAAATTTGAAATTCAATTTAAATTAAATAATTAATTAATTAAAAAAATAATTGTCTCCTTTTCTTTCGCTCTCTCCTCCTTTCCATTCCCAATTTCCCAATTTTTTCCAGCAACCCTAATTTCTCCAACTACAAGTCTCTTTCAATATGTAGAAAAAGCTCTTTTACTTAAATGTAATTTCAAAATTAGATAATATGTGGAATTGAATAATTTTTATGTTGATTATGCAGTGGCATGGTGGGTTGACCAGTAGTCAACAATATTGACCGTCCAACATAAAGGTCATATCTCGGATTTGGAAAATTTAGTAACTTTGATGATTAGTTGAGGCCCCGATGTTATAGATTGAAAAATTGGCCATGATATTTAATTTTTGAAAAGTTCGGGCTATACAAATATATTAACCCTTTTTAAAATTGAATTCACTAAAATGGCGTCCTTTTGTTTAAAGGACGAAAATCAATCATACTAGTGGTATTTTAGCCTGTTTCATGGAGGGCATCGATTATACCAGGTTCGACCGACCGGTATTCCACCTGCGCTACAACCATGATGTTGATAATCATTCTAACAAGTAATATTGAGATAATTTGGTTTATTCAATTTGAATAATTAGTTTGGCTTGGTTAAATTTTTAGCTGGTTTGGTTTTTGGTTTCAGACACTTCTAAAAAACCAAACCAATTATGTAATTAGTCATATATCACATACTTAATGTTTTGCATAACCACTCAATAGTTGAGAGTTTTTCCTTTTTGGACGCCCATAAAAGTAAAGTTAAAATTATTTTTTTACTATATTTGTTCTTCTAGAATGTACGCAACAACATATGAGCTTCTAATTTAGATAAATTTCATATATTATGCTGGATGAAACCTGAAAGAGAATGATTTTTCAGCCTTTGATAATTGCTAAGTGTATAAAAAAATTTAGATAGACACACCCAATTCTATATGTTAGTGGTGTAAATATTTAATTTGTTAGCATGATCCTAAAACTAATTTTAGCCAATATCAACATATCGTTCGATAACTCTTTATATTTAAAGAATTTTTAACAAAAAAATAATCATATTGCTTGATAAGATAGGTCGAGGATTACACCCTATAACCAACCCATGACCGAAAATCATACAATCGACATGAAGCCGGAGGTAAAGAAAGGGCCTTTCTAGCCACTGAATGGGCTACCGTATTGTTAATCCGACCCACAAATCTAACATGAAACCCACTATTCAGAGCCAACATATTCAGAATCTCTTGAATAATCGCACCAACACGGATGTCTTGCGCATCTTTGACATTAATTTTATCAATGAGAACTTTC